GCCCTTTCTTTTCCTTCTCTTTGGGTATGAAGCTCCAGGGAGCCGTAGGGGCTCCCCACAGAAAACCAGCGTTGAATGTAATGAAACGCCATTTTCTGGGTGAGCCCCGGAGGCTCCCTGGAAACCCTCCCTCCCACCGGTCGGCGTTTTTTTCGCGTTGGTTGACGCTTAGCTTCCGAACTGGAGCTTGGCAGCCGGCGCGGTAGGTCCGGGGCTCCCCCCTCCCCCTCCCGGGGTGGGGAGGGCTGCGCGGACGATCGGCAGTAAAGTGTGATGTTTGCTTGTTTGCTTGTTTCCTTGGGATTGTAGGGAGTTTTCTACCTCTCTGTTCGGTTTTTGTTGTAGTTTCTTACCATGTGGGGTTTGTTTTGTTACGCCTACCTTTCTGGGTGCCTAACCCCGGTCGATGGCAGATAAGGAAAACCCCCAACCATATGGGGTTTTCCAGGGCCATTGCTCCCTGAAACCTCTCTGAAGGGGCCAGGTTCTGGCGCTGGTCCCTGGTAGGTCTGAACTCCTTAGCTAATGTCCCGGTCTAACATAACACACATTAGCCCGATAAGCTCCAGGGAGCCTCCGGGGCTCACCCAGAAAATGGCGTTTCATTACATTCAACGCTGGTTATTTACCCAGAAATTACCGTTTCATTAAATTCAAACGCTGGTTTTCAGTGAGGAGTTTCGTTGGCTCCCTGAAGCTATCATCACTGATTAAGTGTCATACTACTTAGTGTCATCATTTGCAAAGTTTTGGTTTTGGCCCACCAGGGACCACGAGCCAAAACCTGGCTCCCCTCAGAGAAGCGCATAGAGTGATGGCCTATGATCACTTCACATTTAAAGGATATCATCTTTGCCATCACCAGGGAAGGCCCCCAGAAAGATAGGTGAATCAAAACAAACCACTGCATGGTTTAAAAATGCAACCAAAGCCCTCAAAAAGCCAGAAATAATAAAAGTATAAATAATCCCCAGTAATAAAAGAAACAAAAAAAAAATTAGTGAAACTAGCCCCCAGCTAGTTAACGCCATCTCCCTCTTCACATGTCAGCAGGCTGTGCTGGCTCATGCTTTGATTTGGTGTGGGCACTCTCTTCTCTCAACTTGCAGGCGATGAGTCACAATAACGTGGCTGAAGAATGTTGACCAGACCACACACTAGAAGGTGAAGGGACGACGATGTTTCGATCCATCCTGGACCATTCTCAAGTCAATCGACTTGAGAATGGTCCAAGACGGACCGAAACGTCGTTGTCCCTTCACCTTCTAGTGTGTAGTCTGGTCAACGTTCTCTCAACTTCCCCCTTATTGTCCTCGGTTTTTTTCCTGAGGACTTGGTTGCTCAGTTTTGTTCAGCAGATCTGGTGATTTGTCATCAGGTCTCCAACTTTTCCTGACTACTACTGAAGATCAGAGGAATTAGTGATCCACGCCAACATCATATAAATTTCTTTCCTTATTAACACTTTCGCGCTCTCCGCAAAGGTCACTCAGCCAACTGAATGTGCGCGCTGCGTTTTTATCGCTTAAGCGTAAAAAACAAAAATGTGTATACTCTTTTTACTCTTCTGACCTTAGTTCTCATGCTACGTATTTCATTTTGGTAACAACGTGTTTGCAATAAAATTCTCTAGAAGAACATCAGTAAAAAAAGTCACGAAACGTATAGGGATACCAGCACCAAATAAATAACTACGAAGATGACTCGCTGTGAGCGCCCATCAGCAACAAAATGTTTTTACTCTTGGGATTGTAATCACCTCCACACTTGTTCTACAGCGTTAATTTTGGTGTCAATGGACTCGCAATGAAATTCCCAACACGGTGATATGAATATAAGCGTAGAATAATGATGCGGCCCGCCCGCAAGAGTGTGGGAAGTGGTGAAATTGTTACCCGGTATCGGTGACGGGACGACGCACGGCGCTTTGAAAGTTTATACTTATTTCACTCTCATGACATTAATTTTCTATGTACGTCATTCATTTTTGTGTCAATGTGTTCGCAATAGAATGTTCTATGTGCCCATAGGTAAAAAATATCAACAAAGCGTAAGTTAGAATAGCGCCAAATATAAAACAACGCTGGAACATATCAGTGAGCGTCAAACACACACGAAATGTTTTTACTTTTGTTATGTTTGTCAAGTTTATACTTGTTGCACACAGTTATTTTTGGTTGTATATTGATCGGAATAAAATTCCCTAAACAGACATATGCATATAATACATGATATGGGGGAAGCATTACCAGTATAAACGGCTAAAGTCACCCACCTGCAACCCGTTTGGGACAAAATACCATTTGATCGAAGTTATCCACACCTTTCATGAACTTATTGTACCATGCAGCCTAGTGGTGAGAAAGAGAGCCTCATAGTGCGCAGTTTGAAACAAACCCAAAGTAAATCGGATAAAAATTGAATTTTATACAAATATTTTAAAAGAGGACTCAACTTTATGTCCACTACGCGTTAGCGTTAGACGAAACGGGACGCGCCGATGCGTCCGGATAGCGCGAAAGTGTTAAGACTGTTCATAGCCCAGTCAATAGAGCGTTGGCCTCACACATGGGGTCCACGGTTTGAGACTCCTAGAGCCCGGGTGAATGAAATGTGTATTTCCTCGGAAGTGTGGATGACAATTTATATGCTGTTAGTGTGGATCACTAATTCCTCTGAGCTTTAGTAGAAGTCAGGGAAAGTAAAAAAATTACAGTTTGGCAGCAGGATGCTGCTTCTGGAAACTTACCTTATTAAGACTACTCATAGCTACTCATAGCCACTTGGGAGCCGGTGGCTGAGCGGACAGAACACTGTACACGTGATCCTGTGGTCCCGGGTTCGATCCCGGGCACCGGCGAGAAACAATGGGCAGAGTTTTTTTCACCCTGATGCTCCTGTTACCTAGCAGTAAATAGGTACCTGGGAGTTAGTCAGCTGTCACGGGCTGCTTCCTGGGGGTGGAGGCCTGGTCAAGGACCGGGCCGCAGGGACACTAAAGCCCAAAATCATCTCAAGTTGACCCTCAAGATAGCCCAGTCGATAGAGCTTCGGCCTCCTTACCTTGCGATGATTCCGGGGCTTAGTGTCCCTGCGGCTGGTCCTCGACCAGGCCTCCTCACATACACGTGGGGTGCACGGTTCGAGACTCCTAGAGCCCAGATGAATGGAATGTTTATTTCCACGGATGTGTGGATGACAATTTATATGTTGCTTGTTTGTTTTCTTTCTGGGGGAGTTGTTTTGCTCTTTTCAGACATTTGTATCACTTTTACCAGATTGTGGTCTGTAAAATTGTAGGTCTGCTTTGCCTATCTTTCTGCGTGCCTTCCCCAGTCGTTGGCAATTATGACATACTTTAAATGTAAAGTGCTCATAGGACATTGCTCCCTGCACCTCTCTGAGGGGGCCAGGTTCTTGCTCTTGGTCCCCAGTAGGCAAAAGGACTCCTTTGACTGATGACCACAAATTAATATAGCAGTATATCAGATCAGTTCAGATAGCTTCATTGAGCCTCCGGGTTTCAGCCAGAAAATGGCATTTCATTACATTCAACGGTGTTTGGGTTTTTTTCCAGGCCTTTCTGACTGGGGTGTTGCTGTGTTTTCCTAGCAGGTTTCCATGATGGTTTGGTTTGCCTCTTGCTAGTGTTTCCCTCACTGTTATTGGGGTTGTTTTCCCAATTTTAGCTGGTATTTTTTTTTTCTGGCTGGTGCTGTTTCTATCTGACTTTTTCTGGGGTTGATTTTTTTTCTGGCTGGCATGAGGATTGGATTTTCCCATAACTAGTTCTGGTAATGAATGTTTCCATCATCATGGTTACAAATGTTAGCAAACAGTTGCTTGTTTTGTAGTGCTGTACCTATCAGGTAATTTTTCTCCCCCTTCTGTGGGAATCTCTGATCCTCAGGCTTTCCATAGCCTCTTTGAGGGAGCCAGTTTCTGGTCCTGGTTTCCAGTAGTAAGCATGTTAATCAGCAACTGCACTGCACATAATGCAGTGCAGTTGTTGAATGACTCAAGTTGTGCTATGCATAGCATTTTAAGGCTCTCTTAAGTATATCAAATGATTCAGAATTCCCACATATACACAGGCCTCACATTTGCTTCCTCAACCCTCATCTTTCGTCATCTTTTTACTAGAAGGATAGTGAGGGATTCTGGATTTTTTCTCAAGATGGGGGATGGTTACTGGAGGCTACCTTGGGGTTACCTTGCGATGATTTCGGGGTTTAGCGTCCCTGCTGCCCGGTCCTCGACCAGGTCTCCCAGTCCAGTAACCAGTAGGCCTGGTCAAGGACTGGGCCACGAGGACGCTAAGCCCTGAAATCATTGCAAGGTAAGTGCAAGGTAGCCTCCAGTAACCATCCCCCAGCTTGAGAAAAAATCCTGAGTCCCTTACTTTCCTTCTAGTCAAAAGATGAAGACCATGTTTGGTAACATCACCATCCAGTGTGTGAACGTGCAGGGCGGCCATAATAGGAGCCACTGAACTTTTAACAAAATGAGCGATTACCATGCATATATGTACTGGCAAAATGTGTACTATGTGAAGTTGTAAGATTTAGGCTTACATATATACAGTATGTATTTGTATGAATAAATACAAGTGAGAAACAATGAAAATAAATTGGCAAAGTTATTTCTGTGTTCACCTCACCTCATTTCTACTTTATTGAAAAAATGCAACTTCTTTGGGCTACTACCACTAAACCACAATAGGTAGACTCTTTTTTATTTGGATTTGTGCTTCCAAGATACTAATTAACAATGTGAAATAGTTCAAATATTTTTTCAGGATAATATTTTGTTTTGCACACCACAGGGGTGTCAAATTCAACATGTATGCAGTGCAGGGGTTAAGAGGCTTGATGAAGTTTGTATGGCTTGAACACTGCCAAGGCATTGGGGAGGTACTAAGGCCTCACCAGGTGTTTCATTACTTTCAATGTTGGATTGACTGCTTTGCAATATGCTTAAATGATATATTCCTACTTCAGGGAAGGACTGTGAAGAAGACATCCAAGAATGTGAAAGTTACCCTTGTCTCAACGGGGCCACTTGCTTGGAGCGCAGCAACATAACTCTCTATGAATTAGAGATCTTCTCCAACTTCACCTATGAAACGGCTGGAGGATATATCTGCGAGTGCATTCCTGGCTTTACAGGTGGGAAAACTTAGGCTTTTTAATTGTTTGCTACTTAAAGAAACGAATGTATAAGTTAAGAACTTTTGGTTTTTAATGCCCATTTGTTTGATTAAAGCATTCAAATCTTGCCCTTTTTCTTTAAGAAACTTGCTTAGAAACTATTGTTATATACAGGTCCAGTGTTTTGACATGACATTTCAATACAGTGTATCCTCACTCTTACGTATCCCGCTCTAGCGAATTCCCGGAACATCCAAACAAATTTAATTAGGTACTAAATGTTCAGTGGACAACACCTGACACCACCTAGCAGGTGGTGTCAGGGGAGCCAGGTGGTGTCAGGGGAGCCAGGTGGTGTCAGGAGAGGCAGGTGGTGTCAGGGGTGCCAGGTGGTGTCAGGGGAGGCAGGTGGTGCCAGGAGAGACAAGTGGTGTTAGGGGAGGCAGGTGGTGCCAGGGGAGACAGGTGGTGTCAGGGGAGGCAGGTGGTGACAGGTGGTGTAAGGGGAGGCAGGTGGTGTCAGGGGAGGCAGGTGGAGTCAGGGGAGGCAGGTGGTGACAGGGGAGACAGGTGGTGGCAGGTGGTGTCAGGGGAGGCAGGTGGAGTCAGGGGAGGCAGGTGGTGACAGGGGAGACAGGTGGTGGCAGGTGGTGTCAGGGGAGGCAGGTGGTGTCAGATGTTGTCAGCAGAGGCAGGTGGTGTCAGATGTTGTCAGGGAAGGCAGGTGGTGTCAGATGTTGTTAGGAGAGGCAGGTGGTGTCAGGGGAGGCAGGTGGTGTCAGGGGAGGCAGGTGGTGTCAGGGGAGGCAGGTGGTGGCAGGTGGTGTCAGGGGAGGCAGGTGGTGTCAGGGGAGGCAGGTGGTGGCAGGTGTTGGCAGGTGTTGGCAGGTGAGGCAGGTGGTGTCAGGGGAGGCAACATAACTGACACCAACCCCCACCTGGTGGGGGATGGTGTCAGTGGTGGAGGACGGTGTCAGTGGTGGGGGATGGTGTCAGTGGTGGGGGATGGTGTCAGTGGTGGGGGATGGTGTCAGTGGTGGGGGATAGTGTCAGTGGTGGGGGATGGTGTCAGTGATGGGGGGATGGTGTCAGTGGTGGGGGATGGTGTCAGTGGTGGGGGATAGTGTCAGTGGTGGGGGACGGTGTCAGTGGTGGGGGAAGGTGTCAGTGGTGGGGGATGGTGTCAGTGGTGGGGGATGGTGTCAGTGGTGGGGGATAGTGTCAGTGGTGGGGGACGGTGTCAGTGGTGGGGGATGGTGTCAGTGGTGGGGGATGGTGTCAGTGGTGGGGGATGGTGTCAGTGGTGGGGGATAGTGTCAGTGGTGGGGGAAGGTGTCAGTGGTGGGGGATGGTGTCAGTGGTGGGGGATGGTGTCAGTGGTGGGGGATAGTGTCAGTGGTGGGGGACGGTGTCAGTGGTGGGGGATGGTGTCAGTGGTGGGGGATGGTGTCAGAGAAGTGACTGATGATGGAGAGCTGGCAGATTATTATTGACACCGTAAGGGCATGGAAGATATTATAATGGAGCAGCACACAACAAAGAAACAAACTAAAATTTAAAGTTGTTTGGCACTGTTTCACAGTAGGCCTACAGGACCAGCACCCAGCACTAGCAAGGACTCCCTTCGTGAGTCAGGTGCAATTTTTCCTAATGCAAATATGTCCTGGTATATGTATTAAAAAAAATAAGAAGGTTGTTGGGGCCGGACGGATGGAACGAATTTCACACTGGAACGAATCGGCTTTGCCCTATATAGTTCGTTCAAGTGAGGACACACTGTAATTAAAAATTATTTTCTTATGTTTTTTTATGAGTCTGCTTCACAAATACTGGAAAGCACAAATATCTATAATAAAAATAATAAAGTTCTTCCCATTGTTATTGATGAAGCTACAAATTGTGTTGTTTATTTCAGGTGACATGTGCGAGATAAATATTGACGAGTGTGAGAGTGACCCATGTGTTAATGGTGTTTGTTATGATGGAGTCAACAGTTATTCCTGCAAGTGCTGGCCAGGCTATGAAGGTGTCAACTGTGAAATTGAAATTAATGAGTGTGAACTGACTGCTCCATGTGTCCATGGTTCATGTACTGATAAGGTAAGGAGCAAGCTCTATGGGTAGCCTTAAATTTTACTGCACGATGATTAGCAGTATGAAAATATTGGCAAACAATATTTGAAGATATTAAGCTGGTCCAGAAGAAATTAGAAATAGAGGGGAGGGAGTAGGTACTGTATTTTGAAAGTGAGATTGGTGGAATTGGTGAAAATACTAATAAAACAGCTTGTGAAGTCACATGAGAGAATGAGGTGTATGACATCTGGACATAGTGAAGGCAGATAGAGATTATTTTTTTTTTTTTTTTTATTTTTTGGAGATATATACAGGAGTTGTTACATTGTTGTAGAGCCACTAGTACGCGTAGCATTTCAGGCAGGTCCCTGGAATACGATCCCCGCCACGAAGAATTGTTGTTACAACCAAGTACCCATTTTACTGTTGCGTTAAACAGAGGCTACAGTTAAGGATTTGCGCCCAGTAAATCCTTCCCGACCAGGATACGAACCCATGACAAAGCGCTCGCGGTACGCCAGGCAAGTGTCTTACCACTACACCACGGAGACTGTAAATTATGGGGTTGATGGCCCGTTAAAGGCAGTGTAGTTTTATGAAAGGTGTAGAATATCTCAAAGTTAATGATGCTATGAGTGGCTGGTTCAGTATTTATTTAAGGGTAAGTGGAGGTGGTTCTAGGTCCACATAATGTTTATTGTGTTTGAGGACAACACTGCAAGGATATGAGAGAATTAGATAGGTTATTAGCAATGCATCCCACAAGTGCCCATGTCCCAGAAAAATTTACTTAGGAACTGAGAATGTAGCAAGGCAACCCATCCTCTTAAAAATAATGTCGCTTTTCGCTCGTATGTGTGCCATGGCCAAAAATGGACATAATATGAAATGAAATCGGCTCACGAAGGTGATGTACTGTCCCATTTTCCGTTTGCGTCCTCCGGCTTACTCAGTTAGGTTAGGAGAGGAACTTTCAATTAACTGTTTTTAAGACGTTTTGAATCTTTAGGATAATTTCCTGCCCTCCTAACCTACCAGAGGACCCTTAACCACCGTGCTGCACCGAGTTTATTGTGAAATTCCCTCAGTGCGCATGAAATAAAGTGTTCCCATAAAATTCTTTTTTCTTCGTAAAATGATAAATTCCCTTCCCTGAACATGTCTATGTAAAAATAAATACCAAATTCCACTTACTTTGGCTATGGGGACGTGGACAAGGTGCGCTGTAAAGTCATCAGGGGCTGGTCGCCCGTGTGTGACTCTCCCACACACAGTCGCGCAGGCCATTCAAGCACCGGGTGTTGTCACAAATATATTTTCAATTATTTGTTTTATGTATGAACACTGCAGTTTTATTTGTTTTTTTATCGTATATGATGCATATTTGTGTCCTTTACAATATGAATACGGTAGAACATTCATAATGTTCCATGGAACTGTGATACATGTGTCAGTAATGTGTCCTCAATAAATGTTTATTGTCGCAATAGTACCTGTTAAAAATTCACTAGAATTACAAAATGTACAGTTTCACACACTATTTACACAGTAACACACTGTATTACACACTCAGTACTTCGGAAGTGAGTAATAATCAACAAAGTAGTCCATGGTGCACAGCGCGACTTCGCTCTCCGTGCACCAGGTACAGATAAATTTTCACTTCCTGTTTCTTCATTCTGTGTGCTTGCAAATAACGCACTCACGTACACCCTTGGCTTTAGTACTTGTAGATTGTATGTAGCCAAGCTTGTAAAGCATAAGGTAGTATTGAAAAGATTATAGGAAAAGATCAATTTGTAAGGTAGTCTTGAAAAGATTGCTTTGTATGGTCCCACACAGGAAGAGATTAAATTTGAATATTTTTTTAACTCCCAACCCCTTAAATTAAACATTAAATTGTTATATTCTTGCCTTTTAGAGAAAAGTTTCATACGAGTTTCTTTTAAATTTCAGGTGGCTGATTATGATTGCACATGTGAAAATGGATATGGTGGTAAGAACTGCTCTGTAGCGCTTCTTGGTTGTAATGGCATCGAGTGTCTGAGTGGAGGTACTTGTGAGGCGCTGCTCATGAATGAAACAATACATGACTTTGTGTGTCACTGTCAGCATGGATTTACCGGGCGTAACTGTCAACAATCTACTACACTCTCATTATCTGGCAATTCGTATGTTCTCATCAATTCACAGCGTCAAGAAGGTACAGTAACTAGTTATCTCCAGTAAGGGAATACTTATGTTTTTGTTGTAATTTTGAAGATATTTTAATACCTTTCTGTAAGGGCATCAAAGTTGCTCCAGGTTACTACCCACTGTGGATAGCTCTAGACCCATCAAATTGCACCAAACCTTGGCTAGTCTATAATAACCTACCTCATGACCAAAGGTTGGAAGCTGGTCCCCCTCATAGAGGTGGAGAGAGCAGAGGATACTAGATCACTCTAACCAAGGAAATAGCCACCAGAAAGGAAAGTGAGACAGAACTGACAGCAGCAAGAAGTCAATAAATAGAAATCAAGACACCCTGCAGGTGGGTCATTCCACCAGTAGTACCCTTTGTCATTCACCTGGTGCTTCCATGTGTAGTGCTCCATCCTTTGCCCTTTCCTTCCCTTTAGGTTCTAGGTTTTCCAGAAGAGTGCTGGCCCTACTCTGGGCTCTGTCCTGCTGGGGCAATTTGCATGTGTATTGTTCTATGTTTAGTATTTCATTCACGGGCATGTTTACAAGCCTTACTTGTTGGGACTTCATGCAATTGTTTGCTACTAACAGCACGAGTTTAGGACTGACTTTCCCAACCCACAGATCCTGATGTTGCAACAGCAGTTGCAGCATCAGGATGTGCGGGTTGGTACAAGAATTCAACCAACTACGACTGACTTATTTTGATGAAAGGGAGCATTAGAACAACAGAAGTACACTTACATCGCATCAGGTTTGGATACCCACGTGCATGGGAAATAGGCTTACAGGTTCCAGAAGATGAGAGGAAATGTCAACACTGGAGAAATGCCCGACAGACCACTGGAACATTATCTAACACAGTGCACAGTTACAAACCTATTAAGATTTCAACTTAGATTTAACAGAGCAGGAGTTGTTAAACACATATGGTGGTTCATTGTCTTAACCGCTGGGGTTCTCTTCGGTCCTGGGCTCTTTAGGGGTGATCGCTTCGGGTGACCCTTCTGCTGTATTCTCAGTGTTTGGCTATCTGTGAATATCTGGGAAGTATCCAACATCCTGGCGGATGTACTGCCTTGGTTCATTCCCCTGTCCACAGAATGGACGGTCAATGCCAACTTCTTCAGTTGACTCTGCTGGACATCTGGGCTGCTGAAGATGGACCTCTTCGTGTCGGCGTGATTTCGGCATCTCCCGATATATGTGGCACCCTTCCCTGACTGCAGAGCCATTGCGGTGGATGCCGTTCAGCAGGACTGGTCAAGGCGGGGTTACCTATACCTCTTCCCCCTTGTCCAGCTGGTGCTTCTGATTCTTTTGGAGTCATACAGTGAGAGAGTCGTCCTTGTGGCCCCCTTGGTGTCCGGACCAGCCTTGGTCTCAGGCGCTGCTTGCTCAGTGTCTAAACCCAGGGCATTTTCCATGACTTTGCCTCTTTCAGCAGATCAGACCGGTCCAGTACATGGCTGGTTCCGTCTACTCCTCCGCTCCTCGCGTCTGGTCTTTTTGATGCGGGTGTATCGGTACTTGTATGGTGATCAGGTCGCTTCTTTGATGGTGTCCCACCTGCGAGTTTCGTCTCGGCAACAGTATGAGGTTTCCTGGTATTCCTTTCGCCATTTTGTCCGTTTTCGTAAGTTGTCTTCTATTTCAGATTGAGTTGTTTTGTCTTTTCTTTCTTGACTTTTTCAGGACCGTTATTTGATTCCCAATTCTGTTGCCTCTTATCGTGCAGCGCTGGTGGAGCTGCTCCAGCTTGCATTCGGGGTGGATGGCACTTTGGCCCCGTATTGCAAGCTTTCTTGTGCTTCTGCGTTTTCGGTCCTGGTGGTTGGTTTGTTCATTCGCAGCCGTCTCATTCTTTTCTGCCGAAGAATGAGACGACGGCCTTCCGGAAGGGCCCCTTGAGTCATTGATGCTTGGTTGGTCAGGCTGGGGGTGCATCATGTGTTGTATCCGGTTGCATCTCTTCACCATCACCTCGGCTTCTGTGGCGGGGGACACACTTTGGGTTGATCCGGTTTCTCGTGTTTCCTGTTCCAGGACTCGGGGTCTTCTAAGTCGTCTACAGGGTTATTAAGTCTAGCCAGCCTGTGGTCTACCTTCATGCCCATGATGTTTGTAAGTTTGCTGCTTTCGGTACCGTGTTCAGCAATATGTCTTGGGCTGACATTTGGGCATGGGGGTTTTGGAGGTCTAACAGGGCCCTGGCCGCCTATTATCTGTCCAATACTCCAGGTAGCTCCAGGGGACCGGAGGGCCTCCCACAGAAAACCAGCGTTAAATGTAATGAAACGCCATTTTCTGAGTGAGCCCCATTAGGCTCCCTTGCACCCTCCATCCCTCTGGTCGGCAGTTTTGTTTTTTGATGCTCAGCCTCCAAGCAGAAGTGTTGAGTAGCTGGCACAGGGGGGGGGGGTTCGGGGCTTCCCCTTCCCAGGGAGGGGAGGGCTGCGCGGACAAGTGGCGCAGTGGTGGTGTATAACGTTTGCGTGTTTACTTTTTTCTTTAAGTTTTGGGGAGTTCTGGCTCTCTGTTCGGTCTTCGGTTGCAATTTCTTTCCAAGTGGGGTTTGATTTATTATACCTACCTTTCTGGGTACCTAACCCTGTTCGATGGCAGACAGGGAATGCTCCCAAACACATTGGATTTCCATAGGCTATTGCTCCCTGAGCCCCTCTGAGGGGGGCCAGGTTTTGGCTCGTGGTCAACGGTAGGCTGAATTCAATTGACTGATGCTCCAGACTAATATAGCATATATCAGTCCGATAGCTCCAGGAAGCCTCCGGGGCTCACCCAGAAAATGGCGTTTAATTACATTCAATGCTGGATTTTTGTCTGCAGGTTGTGTCCCTCATTAGACCATGGTGTGATACCCAAAGTTAATAAGGTGTCAGGTGGCTAATTTGAGACCCACCAGAAAGAGGTGATTTGTTTCAATCATTGCTAGATTTATGCATGCTACATTAAGTGTTTAAGTTCTACATTGAGTGTCATTTGTTACTGTTCTGTCTCGCCTGTTGCTTTAGGGTTCCCTTTCCTGGCACAGTCAAGTGATGATTTTCCTACCTGAGTTATCTTCTGTGTCTGTCCTGTGTTGAATAATGCATTGAGAATAGTGAGTGAACTTTTGTCCATTCTCTGTTCACTTGTGCCTTGTTAACAATCTTGCATGCTTGGGCCTTCTAGTTGAAGGATCATGTAGTGTGGTATTCAGTTCCAGAGCTTCAGGGAGGTCCTTTACACCTCACATCTCGGTTGGTTGGATCATGATGTCTCCTCCACTCCACTTGGTACAGAGTTTGCTTCTGATGTTTACAGCTGGGGCTGTCTTGTCTGCCGGTCTCACCAGGCCTGTCTCAGCTGGTTGTCACCCAGGTTGTCTTCCCACACTGTCACCAGAGTTGTCTGGTCCGGCTGCTGTAAAATTCCCTTGCATAAACTACCACTGGGCAGTTTTGCTGGTCTCCCTTTCTGGTGAATAATTCTCTAGGTACTGTTTGATTTTAGATCCCCAGACTACCCCTTAGCCTTTTTGAGGGAGCCAGAATCCAGTCCTGGCCTTCCTGTAGGTGAGTGGGATTAGATAGAGGCCTGGTGTGTTTCAGGCTTAGCTGTAACAAAGGCTGTAGCATTAGGGAGCTCCTGAGGGCCCCATCAGAAAGTAACCTTTCATAACATCTAACACTGGATTTTAGGTTTAGAACTTCTAAATTTTAATATTTATGCACAAAAGTCAGTTTTAAATGAGATATAATTTGGAAACAGCATGATGTCTCAATGTAAATTCACTTAAAGGTGATAGTTAACTGCATTAAAACTGATTATTGGTTAAAAAATTTCTTTAATGTAAAGTGATTTACATTAAATCTTGTTGCATACAATCAAGAATGAACTGTAATAGTATTTGAGGTTTAATATTTGAGGTACGTATCGAGTTTGTTCATGATTTACATGAAAAAGTTTAATGAACAAGAAAAACTATTTATGGATTACTGAAAGGAAATCAAATGATATCTAATGATAACATTCTTTCTACAGTATTTGCAATAAATGAGCAGATCATTAGTATGTAAACACTATTTATTTTCAGGATACGAACTTGCCTTCCGATTTCGTACTACGCTGACTAATGGGATTCTCGCTGTGGGGCAAGGGGAAACTTACATTAAGCTGGAGCTTGTACAAGGTCAACTGAACTTCCACTCTTCCCTACTAAACAAGTGAGTAATCTTTGAATCATTTTGTATCTTAATAGCTAATGTTGGCATGTCAGTGCACTGACATAAATGTGGTTTATGTCCTGCATAATATTTTGTCTGACATGCTTGCTGAAGCTTGCTGATATTTGGACTGTATCTGCCTGACAGACTGCAGACTTAGTCTGACTATGTAGTGCACTCTTTAGTTCCTACTTCCTACTGTCCCTCTGTGTACTGTGTCTCCCTAGCAGCACTATGACTGCAGGAACAGTATGAACAGGTTCCTGCTTTGCTGGTGCAGATTATCTACCTTTTGTACTGATTAAACATAGACCTACCCTGGGTGTAGGTTTCTGTCCTAAGAAGCAAGCATGTGACATAGCTCAGAATACAGGCACAGGTACTGTACTGGTGTGTATATCAGTACCAGTTGTTAACAAAATACAGCAAAGATTCGGATAAATGGAGTTTAATTGTATTATATTTGTGATATTTTACAAATACTTATTCCATCATTGTATGTTTTACAGGTGGGAAGGCATTTTCACAGGATCTGACCTGAATGATGGGCAGTGGCAGAACGTGAGGATGTTAGTGAATGACAGTCATGTATCCCTTGCAGCCAACAACGAATCTACTGTTTATCCAATTAACCCAGTACAAAGCATAAATAGCTCGGACACATCATTTTCAACAACAGTCTTAGGTATTTATTGTATTAAGGGTTAAGTATTCATGAAATATTGTATTTGATTATTCATTATATTTTGCCATTTATAATATGAAATGTATGTAAGTTGTTGTTCTTTAAATGTAGTTTACATTAATTCACTTTAAAATTTCTCTTAAAAATAAGGCCTTAAAATCAGTTTGAAAGCATCTTTCTCAGTAAAACCAATAGATTGTTATTTAAGATAAGAATCTGAAGGCAGGTTAACATTTGGCCCCTGTGCCCCAAAGAACTTCTCAAGCATCCTTATAGGGCCATAGAAGGTGTTATACAAGTTAAAGAAAACTCAGTCTGGCTTAGAATATATGTGAAAGGCACAAGTATACACACATAAAGCAGTTCCAAATCCTCACTTGGTGTCACAAGTGAAGAGATACCTATACATAACCAGATCATGCACTCTGCCACGGTATAACCAAAGGGTGCACAAAACTATCCAGTAATATACAAGAGGCAAAGAGTCAGCTGAACAGATCCTAGTGTACAGCTAATGCTGCCTTCTCTGGAAGAACAGTCTAGAGTGAGATGGAAAAAATACTGTGTACACTCAGATTGAGCACACCAGCTGAATAACCGAAGGACACTCTCAAACCCATAAATATGTACACATATTTACACATGTACATATGTACACATATTTACACATGTACATATGTACACATATGTACACACAGAACTGGATGACAAACGAGAGGGCCTCATAATGGTCATGAGAGATATTATTGTACAAGCAGATAAAGATAAATCACGACTGTTGATACTGGGTGACTTCAACTTTAGAGCAATAGACTGGGAGGCCTATGAAGCAAGAACGGAGGACTTTTGGACATGCAGATTTGTGAACCTCATTCTGGAGACATTCTTGTATCAACACATAAAGCAAGCCACAAGAATGAGGGAAGGAGATGTACCGTCAGTACTGGATCTAGTATTCACCAGGAAAGAAGAAGAGATTTTTGACATCCAGTACCTTCCTCCCTTGGGAAAGAGTGATCACGTCCTGTTAGACATTAAATATGCTTTAAGATATCATCTAGAAGAAAATGGGGACATTGAAACAGTTGATAAACTCGATTTAAGGAGAGGCAACTATGCGGAACTTCGAAATTTTTTTAATGAGTGTAATTGGACAGAATTGTTGCTAGGCAGGGAAGTAAATGAAATGTATGCCAAATTTTTAAAACTATACGAGGAAGGCACACAAACATTCATACCAAAACAGAGATGCAGGGCCAGAAAACAGGATTGGTTCGACAGAAATTGTGAGAGGGCAAGAGACCAAAAGACACAAAAATGGAATCAGTATAGGAAGAGGCCAAACCCCCAAACATACCAGCGATACAAAGATGCGAGAAACAACTATACAGCAGTAAGGAGAGAGGCAGAAAGAAATTTTGAAAAAGGGATAGCAGATAAATGTAAAACAGAACCGGGCCTATTCTACAAATTCATAAACAACAAATTGCAGGTAAAGGATAATATCCAGAGGTTGAAAATGGGAAACAGATTCACGGAAAATGAAAAGGAAATGTGTGAAACGTTAAATGAAAAGTTCCAAAGTGTGTTTGTACAAAATGAAATCTTCAGAGAACCAGACACAATAAGAATTCCAGAGAACAACATAGAGCGGATAGAGGTGTCTAGAGATGAAGTGGAAAATATGCTAGAGGAGCTCGGGAAGAACAAAGCAGCTGGCCCAGATGGCGTTTCACCATGGGTTCTGAGAGAATGTGCATCTGAGCTCAGCATTCCACTTCACCTGATCTTTCAGGCATCCCTGTGTACAGGAATCGTAGCAGACGTGTGGAAACAGGCTAACATAGTTCCAATCTACAAAAGTGGCAGCAGGGAAGACCCCCTCAATTATAGACCTGTATCATTGACAAGTGTAATAGTGAAAGTATTGGAAAAGCTAATCAAAACTAAATGGGTAGAACACCTGGAGAGAAATGATATAATATCAGACAGACAGTATGGTTTTCGATCTGGAAGATCCTGTGTATCGAATTTACTCAGTTTCTATGATCGAGCCACAGAGATATTACAGGAAAGAGATGGTTGGGTTGACTGCATCTATCTGGACCTAAAAAAGGCTTTCGACAGAGTTCCACATAAGAGGTTGTTCTGGAAACTGGAAAATATTGGAGGGGTGACAGGTAAGCTTCTATCATGGATGAAAAATTTTCTGACTGATAAAAAAATGAGGGCAGTAATCAGAGGCAATGTATCGGAGTGGAGAAATGTCACAAGTGGAGTACCACAGGGTTCAGTTCTTGCACCAGTGATGTTTATTGTGTACATAAATGATCTACCAGTTGGTATACAGAATTATATGAACATGTTTGCTGATGATGCTAAGATAATAGGAAGGATAAGAAATTTAGATGATTGTCATGCCCTTCAAGAAGACCTGGACAAAATAAGTATATGGAGCACCACCTGGCAAATGGAATTTAATGTTAATAAATGTCATGTTATGGAATGTGGAATAGGAGAACATAGACCCCATACAACCTATATATTATGTGAGAAATCTTTAAAGAATTCTGATAAAGAAAGAGATCTAGGGGTGGTTCTAGATAGAAAACTATCACCTGAGGACCACATAAAGAATATTGTGCAAGGAGCCTATGCGATGCTTTCTAACTTCAGAATTGCATTTAAATACATGGATGGCGATATACTAAAGAAATTGTTCATGACTTTTGTTAGGCCAAAGCTAGAATATGCAGCTGTTGTGTGGTGCCCATATCTTAAGAAGCACATCAACAAACTGGAAAAGGTGCAAAGACATACTACTAAGTGGCTCCCAGAACTGAAGGGCAAGAGCTACGAGGAGAGGTTGGAAGCATTAAACATGCCAAAACTAGAAGACAGAAGAAAAAGAGGTGATATGATCACTACATACAAAATAGTAACAGGAATTGATAAAATCGACAGGGAAGATTTCCTGAGACCTGGCACTTCAAGAACAAGAGGTCATAGATTTAAACTAGCTAAACACAGATGCCGACGAAATATAAGAAAATTCACCTTCGCAAATAGAGTGGTAGACGGTTGGAACAAGTTAAGTGAGAAGGTGGTGGAGGCCAAGACCGTCAGTAGTTTCAAAGCGTTTTATGACAAAGAGTGCTGGGAAGACGGGACACCACGAGCATAGCTCTCATCCTGTAACTACACTTAGGTAATTACACTTAGGTAATTACATGAAGCAAACATATACAATATAGATACAGGATAAGCCATTGAGCAAATTAAATGTTTCAATAGCTGAAAACAAATTACATAATCAGAATTAAGTAAAGTATGACATAATATTAGTTTGGGAACCTTACTGGGCATTTGTGTCCATGTAGTTGTTGTGTTCATAAGGCTGTTGAACTAGTAACTATAAAGTTCCCAGTTGGCCATCACTTGTGACACGTGAGGATTCAGTATGGTTTTGTGTGTGTATTGATGTTCTTCTCATTGTTATTCTGGGCTGAATTGATGTTTTCTCCAGTGCCCTTATAACAAGACTGTTTCTAACGTGGTGTTAGAAAAGTTAGACTCTGGCACGAGTGCTTGAGCATTGTCATGCCTGACTGTGTGAATCCTTGCTGATGCAGCGGGTTTACCCTCGGGAGCAACCAAATGTTATAACTCAAAAAATATTTACCATCTAAAGGTTTCTCATTAAAAAACTGTCATGCCTTGAGTAAAACATGAATCACTACCAAAAAACACAAGTGTTCCAGCCACGCTTGGTAGTTTACTGTGATGTAGGTATGAGCTAATATAGTATATATTTTCTGGAAAGCACTCGGAGATCAGGGAAACTACACAGGTGCTGTCATAAATAGTGTTATTTCATTGCACTTAACACACTATTTTTACAGGTGGTGCAACCCCAACACTCAAGATTCTTTCCAAAGGGGCTCCATTTTTTACTGGTTGCATGGAGGATGTCATAGTGGATGGTTCAATGATGATCCCAAGCACTGTTCCTGAATCCATGAAAGTAAGATATATTATCTGTTTAATTCTTAAGGACAGTTTTTCATCATCTTTCATAGTATGGTAGGTTAGAAAACAATAATAATTCAATGCCAGCTCTAATAACCGGTGAAGTTTAAATTTTAGATGAACTACTGTTGTAATCTGTAAGTGGAGTACTTATTGTCTCTTTTAGAGTTGCAAAATAGCAGTTTAAAGCTTCCACAACTTGTTATTTAGTAGCCAAGGAAGGAAGTTACACATTTAATTAAATATTAAACCAGTGCAGGTTATCTTGGTAAGCTGTCAGTGAATGCTAGCAACATTCTTTGTATGCATAGTGATCTCTTCCACTTAATCCTATATGTGTATATTATAATGTATTGATATATATAAATTATGCACTTGCTACATTTACTTCCAAATCTTGACTCTTGGCATATAGGTTTCAGTTACGGAAGGATGTCCACGCATAGAACAGTGTAGTCCGAACCCTTGCTTGAACGACGGTGCATGTGTTGATCTTTGGACCAAATACCAATGCAATTGCATGAGACCATATCTTGGGGACACCTGCCAATTGAGTGAGTTTTTATATAATTCTCATTGTTTTAATATATTAGAAGACCTGTTTTTTACAGTATAAATGTTCAGCTAGGCATTAAATCCATTCATATCCTAGTTAAGATTTTCTTAGTTACGTGTCTTCAATCGGGATTCTTTACAGTTTTCACTGAATTTATTTTCCTGAGAAAGGCACCGTAATTGTTTTCTTAAGCCATAGCCAAGGGCATACTCATATCACTGCTAAATCACCATGTACTAAGCAACTTTGTGACCTGAGACAATTAGATTTTCTAATGTTCTTATCCTATGGTGAAGGTGTATGAAGCACAGTAGAGAGTATACCTCAATCCAACACCCAGGAAACCTGCTCTTTATTACACCAAAGAACACAGCAATGACTTGACACCCCCTTTTTAATGATGATTGGGCCTCTAACATCATCAACAATTGTTCTGGAATTACATAACAAGCATCTTTGCCTTTACACTGATTTTGGACAGCTTGGACAGAAAACACTTGTGAAGCTAACTAAAACACAGAACAATACCAAGCAAATGACCCCCACAGAGTAAAGTCCAAGGATAGCTGGCACTTGGCTTAGAAGCAGCAGGACCTGTGTGACTGGTTGACAACCCGGGAGCCATACATTGGACAACCGGAGGTGTCCACATCAGTGACAAAACTGTCTTGGAAGGCTCGGGAGAGACTTGGAGCTCTGGCTTCCCTTACTGGAAGTGAGTGAGTGCTAACAAGCTCACACTAGTTTCAAGAGATCTGATCATTTGTTTACATCGTTTAAGGTGTTTGTTTGGAAGTTTCAAGGCTTCAGTTGTTGTTGTTGTTGTTTTTAGATTCAGCTACTCGGAACAAAAAATTCCAAGCAGCATGGGCTATAGATTATGGATATTTGGGGCTCACATCTGCTTCCTCAGGCCTCCAGTAAACCAATGTCATCTTGGACAAAATTCATGGGCACTCGACCTGGGTGTGAGGGACCACATTACTGATAGGTCAACCATGAGCACCAGAATGTGCCAGCAGCTCACAGCAATGCCGTGCATCACTTAAATAATGATGAAATATATAAGTAACATTGATTTTTTTGCGAAGATAGTGTCAAGAAGATCCTGACTGTGATAAAGACCATGTACAATGTTCAGATATCAGTGAACACATTGCTCGTTACAATGTTCACAGCATGAGGCAGACATTCACAGCACACAGCTGCTATTTGGTGCATCAAAGCGTCATAAAACAGGACTTTATATTCCTTAAGTAAATAAACCTGTGTAAAATGGTTCATATTCATTATTTAGTGACCAGGAATTTGATAATAATAGCCGTGTTTTGACTTGAGTTCGTGCATAGTATATTGAGAGGGGTTTGACAAGTCAGGAGGCATCGTGAGCTGACTAGCATGTAATGCAATGCTGTGAATGGGTTACAAGATTACCTCACCCCCAGAGCAGTTTTTGGGATTTGTTATGTTGCATAAAAATATAGATAGTTATGTATAACGTGTACATAGTATAATAACTGCAAAACAGTATGTTTATTGTTCAACGAATATAATTTTTTTTTTTTTTTTTGAGATATATACAAGAGTTGTTACATTCTTGTACAGCCAATAGTACGCGTAGCGTTTCGGGCAGGTCCCTGGAATACGATTCCCGCCGCGAAGAATAATATTGAACTCATGTTAGTGACACAACTATATCTGTGAGAACCTATATTCTACATGTTCTGTGATATAAATAATGTTATTGAAAGCCCAATGCATCATTGCACTTGAAAAATCATGGCAAAAACATTTAAAATACAAATGTAGTTACAACATTGTTCAAAATATGTAGGGCTAGGCTGAGTGATCACTGGTTATGAGAGTATCACACCCACCAAACCAATTTTGTGGTTTGTAATGGAGCATAAAAATATAGATACTTAAGCAAAAATTGTATGTTTTATTGTTCAAATAACATAATATTCTGAGCATGTTAGTGACGTGAATATATGTGTGTGTACCTATGCTTTTCACATTCTCTGATACAAATATTATTATTGACAGCCTAATGCAGTATTGCACTTAAAAAAAAGGTGATAAAAGTATTAAAAATATGAAGAAATATAATATACAATACTGTATCGGTATTGAATGCATGCTGTTATAACTTCGTGGGAAACATGCAGGGACTAAGCAGAACAGTAATATCTGATTACAGTGTTATTACACTCACTAGAACTGCTTAGTGGTTTATAATGGTACATGAAAATGTACATAATTATATATAAAGTGTATATATACAGTATAGCAACAATAAGAACACTGTTTTCTGGTTTCCTCAGTTTTGGGCAGCACTCTCATTCATAAGATGGGGTCAGAGTGCATCTTAGACACCTGACATGGTTCTTAGGCTTAGTGGTGCCAGCTCCTAGGCTCCAGTGGGCTATTAGGACTCTTCCAAATAGGCCATTTCATTATATTCATCACTTCAATTTCTTATTGATGATTTAGGAACAGTTTTCTGTAGTGAAATTTTCTGTGTTCATTTTTACAAAACATTTCTTTTCAGTATGGTAATTTTTCTTTCTATGCATGCAACTCAGTCCACTGAGTGGAGATATCTTTCAAAATCTTGTCCATCAAAACTTTTAATCATGTCTTTATAATGTTATTTCCCATTTATTTCTTCACGTAGATAGAGTGCACAATTTTTCCACTGTTATATTTTTTAGTAAATATTTACCTCAATGTTTCTTTGAAATTTAACATTCTTCTTTGGAATTGCTTTAGTATTGAGGAAAGAAATGCTATTCTGTTATTTTCTTTACTCATACAGTATTTCCTCCTTCAATTTTTGTAGGAGGAGCAACATGGGAAGCATCACTCTGTAGGTCTTACTTTTCACTGCACTTGCTTGAGCTTTAGTGATTGCTAGTTCTTAAACTGTAATTTGCTCCTTGCGCTATTTTGTTGTATCTTGGCCTTTATTTCACATTTGTGAAACATATTTGTGTATAAATGAATATTTTTAACAATTTTGCTTTGACTAGTAATTTTGCTATTGCTTCTTTGCATTGTACATAAACCTTAGTCACTTATGTTCATAAGATTTGTATGTTACATATACTGTCAAGATTAAATATGATATAGTGTATTATTATAGAAAGCATTCCAGAGATTGAAAAATTTATATTGTGTTTATGAGTTTTTGGAAAGACACATAACAATGTTAGTAGGCAGATACCTATAGAGTGATCTCATGCATTTGGTGGAAGGTTGTAAAATATGGTGAAGAGTTTTCATTGAGAAAGTTGAGTATATGTAGGTTGTAATAGTGCAGTGAGTGAGTGACTGGGTTCGGCATTACTGTAGGTGTATACCACACCAAAATTGTATGTTGTCCTCGTGGTTACCGAAGATGCACAGCTTATTTAATGTGAGAGTAGGCTATTAAAAGTGAATGTGGGCTAAAGTAAAGCAGTGGCATTGAGATTGATTGATTCTTTCTTTATTATGCACCCCATACTCATCCCGTGGGTGGTGGTGGACCCCATACCCATCCCGTGGGCAGTGGTGGAAACGGTTATAGAGGCACATAATGGGTTCCGGAACTGTACCCCATAGTTCGTTTAGCTAACAATCTTGTGAAGCTAATTACACAATTATTAATGTTACATACACAAGTACATATATATATACGTACATGTACACAAATACATATACACAAAGCTGTTAAACTCAATTTCAAGAGAGGACACTATGGGGAACTTAGAAATATTTTCATGGATATAATTGTTGGTATAATTCATGGGACTTGTTGCTAGGCAAGGAAGTAAATGAGATGTATGCCAATTTTGCAAAATATACGATGAAGGCACACAAACATTCATACCAAAACAGAGATGCATACCTAGGAAACAGGGTTGGTTCAACAAAAATTGCAAGAGGGCCAGAGATCAAAAGACACAAGTATGGAATCATTATAGAAGAGGCCAAACCCCCAAACATACCAGTGATAAAAAGATGCAAGAAACAACTACACATCAGTAAGGAGAGAGGCAGAGAGGAACTTTGATAATGGTATAGCAGACAAATGTAAATTAGATCCAGGCCTTTTCTATAAATTCATTAAAAGCAAGCTGCAGGTAAAGAATAATATTCAGAGGTTGAAAATGGGGGACAGATACACGGAAAATGAAAAGGAAATATGTGAAACATTAAACGAAAAGTTCCAAAGTGTCTTTGTGCAAAATGAGATCTTCAGAGAACCAGACACAATAAGAATTCCAGAGAACAGCATAGAGGACATAGAGATGTCTAGAGACGAAGTAAAACAAATGCTCCTGGAGCTAAGTAAGAACAAAGCAGTTGGCTCAGATGGTTTCAGCATGGGTTCTGAGAGAATGTGCACCTGAGCTCAGCATTCCACTTCAGCTGATTTTTCAGGCATCCCTGTGTACAGGAGTCATAGCGGATGTGTGGAAAAAGGCTAACATAGTTCCAATCTACAAAAGTGGCTGCAGGGAAGACCCCCTCAATTATAGACCTGTATCATTTACAAGTGTAATAGTCAAAATATTGGAGAAAATAATAAAAACTAAGTGGGTAGAATACCTGGAGAGAAATGATATAATATCAGACAGACAGTATGGTTTTCGATCTGGAAGATCCTGTGTATCGAATTTACTCAGTTTTTGTGATCGAGCCACAGAGATTTTACAGGAAAGAGATGGTTGGGTTGACTGCATCTATCTGGACCTAACAAAGGCTTTCGACAGAGTTCCAAATAAGAGGTTGTTCTGGAAACTGGAAAATATTGGAGGGGTGGCAGGTAAGCTTCTAACATGGATGAAAAATTTTCTGACGGATAGAAAAATGAGGGCAGTAATCAAAGGCAATGTATCGGACTGGAGAAATGTCACAAGTGGAGTACCACAGGGCTCAGTTCTTGCACCAGTGATGTTTATTGTCTACATAAATGATCTACCAGTTGGTATACAGAATTATATGAACATG